TTAATAAACATATAAGAAATTAAAAAAATAATAAATAAAATGGCTTTGAAATAAAAAAAAAATATATTATTTATATATGATAGATATATGATAAAAGAAAATAAAAAATATATTAATTATAAATATAAATATAAATATAAATATAAATATAAATATATTTAATTAATATAAATCATTTATATAATTTTTATTATTTTAATTTATTGTATTTATAATAATTTTTTTTTTATTATAAACATTTTTTTTTATATATTTATTTAGAAATTTTTTATTATATATATAAATAAAAATTATATTCAATAAATTATAATTAATGAATTAAATATAACATAAAATATTAAATATAATATAGATTTTGTTACAAAATATACTCCATTTTAATAAATATAAATATTTAATATTTAAAAATTAAAATCTATATACATATTAATTATATTAATTATTTTTAAAATATAATTATTATTAAATTTAAAAAAATTATATATAAATATAAATAAATATTTATCTATATAATTATTTTTATTATAATAAAATAGATAATTTACAAACATAATCATTCTTATAAAAAAAATATATAAATCTATTATTTTTAAATCATTTTTTTTTTCATTTATTTTAAATAATAAAATTATTTATATATATTTATATTAATGCTTTATTATTTTGTAAATGATATGTTCAAAAGAGCATAAAATAATATAATAATAATATTTAAAGATAAATAAATATAAACATATTTATTTATTAAATTATAACTAATCATAAATAATATTATAAAGAATAATTAATTATAATACTTTTAATTGTTTATTAAATATATATGGTTTTTAGTTAATTATATTTCTTTTAAAAATAAGTAAACAAATATAATAATATAATATAAAATAAAAAAATAATAATTAATAAATAAATTAATATTAAATTAAATACATATATAAATAATAAAATATTATAAAAAAATAATTAAAAAAAATATTTAAAATAATAATTTTTTTATTTATATAACAAACATATTTGTATTAATTTATATTTTATATATAATTATTTAATAAAAGTGATACAGATGTATTAATAAAATAATATAAAAATCTATATTATTAATTGCCGCAAAAATAAAAAAAATCTATTTAATTTTATAAATAAAATTAAAAAAAAACAAAAAATAAAAATAAAAAATATATATATATATATACGCGTAAATAAAATAAAATTAATCATAAAAAATTATATAAATAAAAATAAGTATAATATATTTTTTTTTAAAAAAAATATATAAATAAATAAATAAATAAAATATATAATATAAAAAAATAATAATAATAAAAATAATGTTAAAAAAATTTATTTTGCTTTTTGTATTAATATTAGGACAATTATGTTCATAATAATAATTTTCAGAAGACGGTGAATATAAATGCCCTACGGGATGCTTGTAATGTGATTAATCTTAAATATGTTAATAATGCTAAAATGATTATTATTATGATTAAAAAAATAATTAATGTTTTCTTTGCAGTAGTAAATTCGATAATTGTGCAAAATGTGATTAAAATGTATGCGATTCATGTATTAGTGGGTTTTAATATAATGAATCTGAATAATAATGCTAAGAAAATAGTAACACAGATGAATATAATAATGTTTCTGATTGCGATGATGGATGTTAAATTTGTAATGAAAACAGAAAATGTGAAAAATGTAATGAAGAATATTATGAAGATAATGATGAAAATGATAATAAAGTATGTTTAAGATGCGGTATAAAATTCGAAAATTGTGAATTATGTGATTAAAATGGATGCAAATAATGTAAGATTGGATATAAATAAAACGAAATTGATTAATAATGCTAATAAATTACAAACACCGATGAAAGTAATAATTATTTATAATGTGATGATGGTTGTGATGATTGCTCTGAATCAGGGGAATGTTTATAATGTAAAAGTAATTACTATGATGATGAAGATGAAAAAGGAAATACTATATGTATAAAGTGTGACAGTAAATTTGATAATTGTGAAACATGTGAAGAAGATTATTGCATTTCTTGTATAAATGGTTATACAAAAAATTAATAAGAAAATTAATGCTAAAATGATTAAAACATAGATGAAAATAATAATGGCGGTAATGAAGATAATCAGTGCCATAATTGTTCTAAATCTGATGAAGGTTAATAATGTTAGTAAGGTTATTATTAAGAATAGGATGAAAGTGGAAATACAACATGTTAAAGTTGCAGCAGTAAATTCGAAAACTGTGAAACATGTGATTAAAGCGGATGCAATACTTGTATGAGTGGATATTAATATAATGAAACTGAAAGATAATGTTTAGAAAATCAAACCACAGATGAAAACAACAATACTTCTAATTGTCAAGATGGATGTGAAAATTGTAATGAAGCTGGAGAATGTTAATAATGTTAGTAAGGTTATTATTAAGAATAGGATGAAAGTGGAAATACAACATGTTAAAGTTGCAGCAGTAAATTCTAAAACTGTGAATCATGTGATTAAAGCGGATGTATTTCTTGCACTGTTGGATATTTATTTAAAGAAGCTGAAAGATAATGTTTAGAAAATCAAACCACAGATGAAAACAACAATACTTCTAATTGTCAAGATGGATGTGAAAATTGTAATGAAGCTGGAGAATGTTAATAATGTTAGTAAGGTTATTATTAAGAATAGGATGAAAGTGGAAATACAACATGTTAAAGTTGCAGCAGTAAATTCGAAAACTGTGAATCATGTGATTAAAGCGGATGTATTTCTTGCACTGTTGGATATTTATTTAAAGAAGCTGAAAGATAATGTTTAGAAAATCAAACCACAGATGAAAACAACAATACTTCTAATTGTCAAGATGGATGTGAAAATTGTAATGAAGCTGGAGAATGTTAATAATGTTAGTAAGGTTATTATTAAGAATAAGATGAAAGTGGAAATACAACATGTTAAAGTTGCAGCAGTAAATTCGAAAACTGTGAATCATGTGATTAAAGCGGATGTATTTCTTGCACTGTTGGATATTTATTTAAAGAAGCTGAAAGATAATGTTTAGAAAATCAAACCACAGATGAAAACAACAATACTTCTAATTGTCAAGATGGATGTGAAAATTGTAATGAAGCTGGAGAATGTTAATAATGTTAGTAAGGTTATTATTAAGAATAGGATGAAAGTGGAAATACAACATGTTAAAGTTGCATCAGTAAATTCGAAAACTGTGAATCATGTGATTAAAGCGGATGTATTTCTTGCACTGTTGGATATTTATTAAAAGAATCTGAAAGATAATGTTTAGAAAATCAAACCACAGATGAAAACAACAATACTTCTAATTGTCAAGATGGATGTGAAAATTGTAATGAAGCTGGAGAATGTTAATAATGTTAGTAAGGTTATTATTAAGAATAGGATGAAAGTGGAAAAACAATATGTTAAAATTGCAGCAATAAATTCGAAAACTGTGAAACATGTGATTAAAGCGGATGCAATACTTGTATGAGTGGATATTAATATAATGAAACTGAAAGATAATGTTTAGAAAATCAAACCACAGATGAAAACAACAATACTTCTAATTGTCAAGATGGATGTGAAAATTGTAATGAAGCTGGAGAATGTTAATAATGTTAGTAAGGTTATTATTAAGAATAAGATGAAAGTGGAAATACAACATGTTAAAGTTGCA